GTTTGGGTCCGAACTAATACACGGAGGGATGTTTCGGAGTCAACGGAGTGACCGTCCAATCTGGACGTCAGTACAGTGGTGGAACGTAAAGGCAAATGGCAGCCAGATCAGTTGAGCGCCTGCTTAAATGGCTTTTAAAGCAGGAAAATGAAATAGCTCGTTCTTCTGTCAGGAAGCATACCTAGAGAACGGTCACTCCGTTGACTCCAAGACATCCTTCCCTGTATTAGTTTGGACCCAAACAACTCGGACAATGTGCTACTTGGAGACAGTCTACATACGGCGGAGGAAACACGACCTATGCAAACAGGTAGATCACGTAGTCAGCCCCAGTTTGCCCTGCAAAATCTCAACCCCTTAATTGACACACCCCTTCTGCGTGTTAATTTACCCATTTTCTTTCCTAAGTTGAGTTTCCCAAGCTATCACTTTTATTGATTAGTCTGCGTGCATTAAATGATGGCCTTATTGTTTTTCATAAATTTTTGCTGTGGAAATTCAAATCACTCTATGTTCCTCATTCGTTATTTCTGTTATGCAGCGATAGATCAGTTGATAAACCGTCGTGAGATTTGTTGTTGACAATAAATTCCGTTGTGCGTGTCAGTTTCAAATGCATACGGAAATATTGCTTTATATGGGGGAATACTAATTGTTTACAGGAGATATCTAGCGTTGAGTCCAGGACCTTGAAGAAACATCTAGGTAGCAGAAATCAGCACAGGCTTGAATGTCAGATGACAACCTCTCATACGGAGGTGATAGTAGACGGGCACATTAGTTGATTTGGCGCATTATTTCATGAAAATACGCGCATTTATCAGCATCGCATCCTCGAGTAAGTAATGTTTTTCAGTATAAAAATCTCATTCAACCATTTTAGGGGACATCACTCTCATGCTGGACAATTAGTAATCAAATGTCTCCACCTCTGCAGGAAAAATGAACCTTGCGGTTTTTTGGTGAATGTATAAATTACTATGCATAAGAATGATTTAAGAAGGATAGTGGTGACCTTCGACCATTCAATGAAGGAGGAAGTGACCAGCGTATGTATTTGTTTTCCATAAAGAAAGTGCGACACTGCTATTAATTTGCGATCCTTACCTACCCCTCACGACGTGCGGTCAAAGTTCTTGAAATGACAACGCAGCTTAACCCCCGTGGGACAACGGCATATGGTCATCCGACGTCACAAAAGCAGCTTCATCTTCTCATGAGAGTCAGGTAATCACACAGTATGTGCTCGAGTGGGATTTTAAAGAGGTTTTCCTTTCTGAGGAATACTGTCCTACCTAGACTAACAATTACAATATTATTCTTTGGAAGATCGGTGATGCAATTGTCTGATTCCCTGCTATTATTATTATGAATATTATTATTATTAGTCTTAGTGAGCCCTGCGCTGACAGATTCAGCAACCTCCCGTCTCTCCCCCCCCCCCACGCAGACCGGGTTTCACGTAATTAGATAACCCACGAAGTCGGGTTTGACAGATTTCTTGACGTAGATTTTTTGATTTGGTCAGCGTTTCTGTTGTTGACAGAAGCTGAATTAGAAATCTAAATCGGGGACAGATTGCTGCAAGCCTGAATACTGGTTGCCTGTCGATAACCATTTCATTGACCGATTAATTGCGTCTGATACAACGAGTGCATATTCAGGCCAAAGCGGGTCGATAAAGAGCAGTTGTCTTCTATGAACTGAGAGGTCATTGTTTCAGTCAGCAGTCAGAAATGAGAGGAATTTTAACCGTGACCGCAATTTTGCTTCTCTGCCTAGACATATCTGCTGCTTACGTTAGCTCCAAGGTAGACAGCTGCTTACAATGTGCTTACAATATTAGGACCCTCTGAATGAATTTCCTTACCATCATCCACTGTATGGCAAAAGGCGCTTCGCCTCCGAATCCACCCGTACACTAACGCCGCCGGGGCTTCCAGAGACGCCGCTAAATCCCGGACTCTGGTCTCGTGTGCCGGCACCTATCCGTCCTTACGTCGAAAACAGAGAGGAAGAGGACCAAAATGCATTGTTTGATGAACTGGTGTAATCCTTATTTGACGTTTGATGAGGTAAGAACAAACGAATGCTTACTTACGCACCAAATGGTTACTGACTCGAAATACATTATTCATCCTGTTTACCGTTGATTCACCTAAAAAGCGTGGCCCTACCCCATTTGCTTGGAAATTTGGAGTTAGACTTAACGATTTGGAGAAAATTATCGTGTATTGAGCGCAAATTCTTCAACGAACAATGGGTCCGCAACACCATATTGTCCATATTACCTTCTTGTGCACTAAAATGCGGTTGTGGTTTGACATGGTTTCGGACAGTGTACTAAACAGCCTAAGATGAGACCCGCGAATACAAGTCCCCCGTTATGCATCCAGCCTTGCGTTTAATTCCAGGAAAAGTACCTACGCCCCCCTGTCCTATCCCTAACACCAAGTCGAAATCAAACCTTACTGATAACCCCAAACGCAACCATATCTTAATCCTAACTCTAAACTACCTGAAATTTGACTCAAGGCCTACTGTATTACGGGGATTCCTATTCCCGTACCGTACCCAGTCCAATAATCAGCGAGTTGAAATTTGTGTCCTGAATTGTGACTTCGAGAAGATTAACGGTTTTACTAATCTTTCATTCCCTACTTATAAACCTGAGGGTAGCACGCTCAAGCACACCGTAAGGCAAACAATGTGTCTTGGGTCCGAAGAAAAACAGCAGAGCAATCCTGTTTCCCAAAATGATTTTAATCTATCCAGATGGAGGATTATTTCGTTTCATCCGAAATGTGAAAGTTCACCCGGAGAACCGGCATAACCCCCGCTCCTGACAGTCGGCATGTGCTTATTTGCGAGACGGCCTTAAAAGAGAAAAGTAAATTACTTTTCGGCGATCCACTATGCTCCGTCTGCCCCTGCCGGTATCGCGATATTCTCCACGCGATATCTTGGCACGTGCTCGCCAACTCATGTCTGGAGCTGCTTCGTTGCTTCCCCCCATAAGCGACCCGGCAGTAAGTTTGAGCAAATGCTGCCTGATTTTGAATTATATCACTTCAGGCTGGGCAGTCGTCTTGTATTAATGCGCACCGCTAAAACGCTAAAATCACTAATCACGCGGTTCGGTTGACTTCTCTGGTTCGACGTCCTACTTCAGAAACTTCCGTTAGCTTAACAATTGTCCCGCCTAAATTAAGATCGAACATTTTCTTTCAGCAGACCCAATTCTCCTTATGACTGGGCGCAGGATGCAAGTACCGGGATTTGAGACTGGTCGGAATCAGAATCAGGTGCACCACGTAACTATTAAGTAAGCAGGTTGCTGACTTTTACTTAAAAACCACACCAAATCGAAAGTTAGGCGTGCACCGGAAAGGGTAGACAGTCAGCGCCACGTACGCGCATCTTCAAAAAGTAACCGGAAGTGATCCACTTAGTCCATGCAACGGCGAAATTTAAGGAGACCATTCCAAGTACATTGGATTTCCAAAACCTAACAATAAACATCACATTTAGTTGAACTAAGAAAAGTTCAATGGAAGAAAGCTGTTTCTTGCGACAACAGAGCGAATAACCGGATGCTGAGTTAGCAACCAAAGGTGTACGCGATCGTGTAGAAGAACCATCCCGCAACCGTTTTAACCCTGCACAAAAGATTATGAGGGCGTGATAGGCGAAAGAGTAGCAGGGTTTGGTAGCCAAAACTGAAGCATATTATTCGAAATGCATGTCAAGCTCACACCGGAGATGGATCCAGAGAAGACTTCGAAGATTATCTGGTCACGGATCCCAGGGTACTTGAAGTCGTCCTAGCCCCGCAACCAAATGAACGCCACAAGTGGCATACGACATGGCCGATAATTTGACCCGCATAGGCAACCACGATCAGCGTTCCCTTACGAGGTGGGCCCAGCAGCGACCAACGTGCGCATTGTTTTCGATGAAACACACATGCCGAGAACCAGCCTCACCCTCTCCTTCCATACTCCCGACAGGTGTGCTTCTAGGCGTATCTGACAAAGCTGAATAACTCATTTACGCGCGCCACACACCCCCTGGTCCCTAATTCCGCATGTCCGGGGGGTAATTACAATTTCTTCCTCCAAACAGACACCGAGTTATCCCGTCAGTAGGATACATTCCAATTTACTGCTTCATGGACGTCAAGTTAGGCGCGTCCTGATTTTTATGTTGAGGGTCACACTGATTCGTCATGATAAATTCTTCAAGACCCACCGTCCTTACTTTCCTGCACCAGTGTTCTGTCAAGTCTTTTGGACGACCGATGATGAGATTATACGCAGTATCTGACTTGGCGTCGGTCTCGGTCTCAAGCGTGCCACGCACATGTGGGGCAAAATCTGGGCAGTAGTCACCCGCAGTGACATTTTGCCTATGACCGTTTAAGAATTCTTGAATCTTGCCTCATATGCCTACACCTGACGACATTTGAACAAGGCGCTTATGTGGAACGCCATCAAATGCCTCGCCGAAGTCAAAGCAAATGACACCTACTGGACGTCCTTCATCCATAGACTTTGACCAATCTGCGGGCGACGTAAGCAGGGTCACTCATTCGGCTGAAGGACATGCTCGTCTGGTGTTTTGAAGCTCATAGGTAGTCGCATAGTGGTCAGAAAGGATGCAGAGGGAGGAGTGCAGGCAATGACTAGGTAGACTGGGATAGCCATTTGTTAGCCGTCATCAGTCAGTCACACCCCAACCTGAAGGTTGGGTGTCCTGGAGCTCAGTGCCGGACTTGATAGTTCTCCAGCCCTAAGTCCAAGGCCCTAACATTCAACTTCCCGAATAGTGACTGGCTGTTATGCGGCTGTATGCAAAGGCTCCAGACTGAGTTATGAAAAAATGGTTTGTATTGAAAAATTCTGGCATGTGTGGCAGCGGAAGGCAGAAAGGCGCAGAATGCATGTTTATTTTGAAAAGTGTAGGGTTCCATGACGACTAATTGGGTCCGGCTTAGGCGTCTAGGGCAAAGTCATAAAAGCGGTAAAGGCAAACAGAGGGAGATTCAGCCAGTGAAAGCAGTAAAAGATAATCTGAGGGTCCCTAATTGACGCGACGTTCACACAAGCGCCAAAAACTAGTTCTCCAGAGAGTTCTCCGGCTGATGCATTAATTATTAGCGGCCAAGAATGCTCGTCCCTTACCGAGATATTGCACGAGGAGGCCTGAAGTTCAAAGTGACAGGAATATGGAATTGATATCGGTTGAAAGAAGGCCAACAAGAAGAAGGGTTTGTTGGAATAAGCGTATTTGCATTTATGCAGTTTACATTACGTGAAAATGATGCAACTGTCAGCAAAAGCGCCCTCCTGATAGCCTAGATAACTGCCCACATCTGGACTTCCGTTGGTCTTGAAATTCGCTAAGGAAACACGCAATCCCGAAAACAGGGATGGTAACATGTCCCAGTTAATTTGTGAGGCGACGCCTCATTCGAAGTACACCGAAATAATGCACATTCAGTCAGTACCAGTCAGTATATTTCGAGCAAACGACAGAAGCCCTGAAAACTTAATTTGGACGGTACAGGTGAGAAGGAAAATAGTTGAATTGCAAAAATTTTGAATACAGTTTTAGTGTGCAGGATGCATAAATTTAATAGTGGAACATAAATGCGAAAAGGTATGGCATTTGCAAAATAACGGCGCAAAAATCGTTCACTGTCCTTGCACTGTGAAAATTTTCACATAAATCAATTTTAATGCAAACAAAAGGATCTGTTGAATTCATGTTAGCAGTATGTTGACGGTCATTTCAGTAATACGCTAGATCGGGTTTGGGGAGTTCGGGTTGCCTTTTAACAGACGATTATTGAAATGTCTCTTGAACGGACTCACGGTAGGAGAATTAATCACATACGTCGGCAAAAAATTCCACTGGCGGATGACCCACTGCGAGAAAAAGGAGGAACGTTGATTTGTATGGCAGAGTTCCTTTTTTAGCTGGTAATCGTGTCGTCTGAGATTAGTTCCCGGTGCTATTTCAAAAAGAGTTTCTCGGTCCACATTCAGACCAGGTAAGCTTAGCAACTGAAACGTTGCTATGGGGTCATTTCTGTCCCGCCTGTAGTGGAGTGGATAGAGGTTCAAGGCCGACAGGTGCTGCTCGTACGTAAAATTATTGAGTTCATGAACAGCCTTTGTAGCACGACGCTGTACGCGTTCAAGGATATCTATATCCTTCCGAAGCCACGGCCGCCAAGCCTGTATCGCTTATTCCAGGTACGGCCGCATAAATTCCCCCATATGTCTTCCAAACGACATCTGTATTCAAATGAATAAACGTTCTGCGTATGGCGCTCATGACTGACATTGCCCGCGCAGCGACTTCAGAACACCGAGTGGTGACGCTTAGATCGTCTTAAATGCATACACCGAGATCTTTTTGTACATCTACGGTTTTAAGTGGTTGATTGTCCGCGAGATACTGTTGTGAGGGTGCATTTGTTCTTCGCCATGCTGATATATGTGCACTACCACACACTTTTGACGTTGAATTTCATGCACCATTTCTCGCTCAATGCGTGCAAATTCTCTACGTTCTCTTTGAGTATCTTGACGTCTTTTTCATCTTTTATCCCCCTCCAAAGCTTAAGATAGTCTGCAAAGAGCGCTATGTCTGATTTCACTTCCCGTAATAGATAATTTGCATCGATAATGAATAGGGGCGGCCCAAGAACTGACCCTTGTGGGACTCCACTTTTAACAGTGCCCATTCTGTGCAATAGCCACTCGCATTGACATTTCGTCTACGACAGTTTAAGAAATCTTGAAACCAGTTCCGAAGATTGCCTCATATCTCTACGCCTGACCACTTTTGAAGAAGGCGCTTATGTGGAACGCAATCAAATGCCTCGCTGAAGTCAAAGTAAATGACATCTACTGGATGTCCTTCATCCATGGCCTTTGACCAATGTTCGAGCGACGTAAGCAGGTTTGTGAGACAGAACCTCTTTTCACAGAAGCAATGTTGAACTGGACTGATGTGACAGCGGAGTATGTTGAACGATGTAATTTATTTTTTCCAACTATCTTTTCCATCAGTTTGCAACAAATGCGTGTCACACTTACCGGCCGGAATATGGTGGGACATAGCCGTGATCCTCCCTTGTGGGTAGGTGCGACGTTTGCCAACTTTCATGTGTCAGGAAGTTTGCCAGCTTCCAGCGATTTTTAGAAGATTATACAGTGATTCTGTTAATCCTGGGATCTCATCTGACCCAGCTGACTTGGCCGGATCCAGCTTATTTAACTCTGTCAAAACTAGCTGCTGTGTAAATAATACTGTGTTTATAAGTGGTTGGTTGGCGAGCTGTGGCAGAGAACAGGACTGAAGGGGTGATTCCGTGGTATAAACACTGGACAAATTTCGAAGCTCGACTTTTTGAAAGCCATCGCTCACAATTTAGTCGTTTTTGTCCTTTAAGGTTGCGAGATAGTCCTGCTTTTTCGTACTGCTCCTGACGTATGCATAGAATGCTTTAGGTTTTCGCTGTGCCTCTTCCAGGAGCTTCAGTTCATAAGAAGCACGTACTTCACGGAGGAGTCTTTAGCAGAAGTTCCGTTGTTGTCTAAATTCTTGAAATTTTTCTGGGCTCCACGTTTTTAAGAGGATTTTCCACAGTTTGCGTTTTTTTCGGATTCTCTTCCTAACCGATGTTGTCAGCCATTTCGGTTTGTTTCAGATCGGATGTTTCTTGAGAGGACAGTATCGTTCAATCAAGTCTTTCATAGTTGATTCTAAGGTTGTCCAGCATTCTTTCGACTCTTGGTATTAAAAAAACGTCCACAACTGGGAGGTGCCGATGGACCACATCAACTTTCTCAACCTATTTTGCATAGGGATACAGCCAATCATTCAACGCATGAAAAAAGAGATAACCAACGCTCCGTTTCTAAAACGAAACTCGCGAGGCGGTCCTAAAAGCAACTCTACGTTAACGAACGTGATAAATGCCTTTGCGTCTTTTACGTGGCATCCGACAATAGGCAGATCACGCGAACGTACCTCCAAGTTGGAGCCCTCGTCCTCGTCAAAAAGTAAGATAGAAAAATGTCAAAGCTCCTGGAAGGATGAACTGTCTGGAGAAACTTACAAGTGCCGCTCGTCAACTAATAACGACTCAAGTCTAGGAGACCAAATGTCTCCCATAATAATGGGGTGATGCAGTTTTCACCTCGTTCCTCGGGAAGACAATGAAACTTTGTATGGTAAATCAGAGAATTGGCCTCAGAGGGGCCGGAACCTTCGGTAAAATTCGTTCGAACAAATTCTAACATTGCCTTGACTCTGGAAGCAAAAGAGTCACAGTGATCTTACATAGGATAAGGGTTACATTCAACCATCCATACCTTGTGCAGGGTCCAGTTGTTATCGAGCCAATAAGCGGCGACTGCTTGATTAGTAGATATCAATGACCCCACTACTGGTCTGAGACGGGACGAAGAATCATGGCAACTTACGAGTTCATTATCAAGTCTGTCAAACGCATCCATGCGTAATGGCGAGGCAGGATCCAAGCTAAAGAAGGGCGCCTATTCGAGATCGGTTGCAGAGTTCGATAAGGGGTTTCGCAAACTGGCACAAAGGGATACCCCAGTTAATGCCCGTTCTGGACCTTAAACGGCCTTTCATAATGCCCTTTTTAAAAACGTCGACGTCGGTCTTTTAGTAATTCGAATATCACTTGAATTGGCGGTGAGATCATACCATCGGAGAGCCAACTCCCCCTAATAAACTAAAGGAGGATGCTTCCAAAAAATTACATGATCGATTCTAATGAGCCATGCTATAGGAAGCTCTGCCAACAACTCCCAGAGATGGTGAAGGGAACTTTACGGGTAGAGGCCTGACAGCCTTACCGAAAGCTCAATGATCACTCCGTTCGTGAATCAGTTACCTAGGTCTTCCCCGAAAATCGACGTGTAGCATTTCCTACATGAACACGCACTGTTCCCTACTGGCTACGTCTTATAGTGCGCGGAATCGAATTCCGAGACACTTAATGCATTAAAACAATCATATGAAACAAAGATTATTTTCTGATTTGTTGAATAATTTTAATCATGTCGTCCGGTACTTTAAAAGACAGCATATGTGAAACCCCTTCTACCACAAGTCCCGCATCAGAGGCGGTCCTGCGCCTAAGTGCGGGAGAGTGTGCATCTTTAAGCCTGATCTATATTTTCTACGTAATGAAAAGAAGCTCACGGGGAACCAGGTTTGCTTGTCTATTGTGCATAGGCGTCAAAATAAAAAAACGTTGGATATTTACGAAGGACAAACTAAGAGACTTGGGTTACCTCACAGAAGTCCAGACACGGCGGACACAGGATGGCACCTGACACTGTGAGACCATGACTACGAATGCACACATTAAACCTCCGTTCTATTCCTGCCTCCGGACAGGAAATCTCGAGCCCACCGGCGAGCTGAACAATGAGTCCACCCTCATCTGCTGAACAGCGGTACTATGTAGGAAGATGAAATAAAAAGGTGAAGAGGAAGACGTAAATCGTCAAACGGTCATAGTCCAAGAAAGAAAACTCTCGCGTAGAAAATCACTCTGTTGGTGACCTTCCAAGACCAGTTGACATATACTGTATTTCTGTAATAGGGTCATGTGATCTAAGGTAATGAAAACATCAATTTCTCGACCTCAATGTGTCTGCATCCTGCTACTAAGGAAAAGTGTACGGGTGAAGTTAAACCTCCAAAAGTTTAGGCCGAGTGTCCATGTGGTCGCACCTAGATGGACTTCACAAGGTAATCGACAATTTTCGGCCGATTACAGAATTCAAACCTTGGTAGTTAGAAAGGGCAGCATGCAAGGAATCTTCTGAATACATTACGTGAAATCTGAAGTAAACAGTTGAGTGACATGCAGTTGGACCGTGAGATTACAAGAGGGGGGAAGAAAGTCACTCGGGACCCTCCTAAACAGGGCACACGATCGTTTATAAAGCCTCCGCAGCAATGAGTCAGACCCTAGCAAAGGGGGCCTGGATTCTTCCAGCGGTGAAATTTTACTTTGCAAGAAAAGTATTTCCGTTACCTACCTTAAAACAGGCTGCGCCGATGACAGGTGGATGAAAGACAGCCTTGCCATCAGTGAGCCTCCAATTAGGGGATGTGGAGAAGCACCTTGCATGTCGGTCGTAGACTTCGAGATTGTAGTTTTCAGATAAAGACGCTGGTAGATGCACAGAATAGTGCTTTACGGTGCAACATAAGGGATGGGGATAGATGAAATTAAAAGAAACATGCGGAAAGAAAAGGCATGAAATAACTCACGAAATGCGTTTAGAGGCTCCGTACAGAGCGATGATCTGCTGACCAACCCCTGATGTCGCTCCCACGTGATTTCCTAGTAAACAGAAGACTTAATCACATAGCTCAGTGTAACTGACTCTAAAGGGGATAAGACAGAGGAGATATGTAATTGATCGGGTTAGGATGTCGCAATAGCGTAGGTGACAAGGAACAGTTGTCTGCGTAAGACAGACGCCAAGTTTAAATGAAGGGACGTCGGATGCCTCAATGGAGTGGTTGATTTCGTCCAAAGTATCTAAAGTTCAAAATTGACTATTACGCAAGTCGACTTCAAGTGGCTTCACATCTTTTGACTGAGGCCAGAGAGAGGAAGAATCAATGCCTAAGCATGTGCAGTGCGGGCTCCAGTCAGGGGAGAGTATAAAGACTAGTAAGTTTGTCGCAAAATAGGACAGATGGTTTTTCAAATCTTTACGTCTTCGAATTTCAGCCACATTAATGCGACTACGTCAAATTGTTTATTAACTGCTGCTTAGGCATCTTTGATCGACGAAATTACATTTATGGCTATTTCCGAGATTGCATATAGCGGACGGGATTTAGGGGGTCCATCTGTGGGTCCATGTGAAGGTCGTAGTAGGTCGCTTCACTTGCTTGCAGGAGTTGGCTACGCCTAGCGTCCATTAACTAGCACCAATCTCCCACATGCGACTCCTCAAAGTGAGGCTGTCTAGCGGCCACACCCCGGTATCGCCCCGGCCGGTGGGTGAGGGAATCCGGTGTTGTGCGTGCCCACACCCGGTAACCACGTCTCCCTTCTCATCCACCCTCCCTTTCCTACCACTTCAAAAAGTCCAACGGAGGGAGCGACATGCGATCCGGCAGTCGCCCAAGCTAACTAGGGTCGCCACCCATCAAACAAATACGTGACCTATGGTGGTGTTCGGCAACCGTCTGGGACGTCCAAGCAGTCCTATTTAGAGACACCATTGCTTACCTCTTGGTGAGGAAGGGGTGCCCCAAACAAATGCCGGGGAATCACGCTAATCGTGAGTATACCATGGCTCGTAGATGCAAATCACGCGGTCGAAACGACAAACCAAGAAACAACCATCACTCTCTCCCCCTTCCCCCCCCCCTTCCTACAGGTTGTCAGAGTGAGTACACTCACCCATGCGCAGAAGACTAAGGAACAGACATCGCCGGTTGACTCCGTCCTTAAAGAAGGAAGTTAACAATAAGATGAAGGTGTTGAAAGATCCCTCAATGACCGGACACCAAAATCCCTAAGCAGTTATAAGTTACAGAGAAATCGGGTCGAAATTCTCATCGCCAGAGATCGCAAGGCCTTTGAAAAGGATCTTTTGAACCGTGCCATGGTTAATCCCAAAGTTCTTTACAGCTACATAACACAGAGTACGCGGAACAAAAGATCCCATCCCACTGCTGAGAACGGCCGGGGGAACGGAAATCTCGGATGACAAGGATAAGGCTAAACATCTCTCTCAGTTCTTCGAGTCCATCGTGACAAGTAAACCTGATTTCTTCTCATCTACTTGTGAAGACGAAGAAACGCCCACCTTTGAAACACTCTTCTTCCCCCAAACAATCGTTTAGAAAGAGTTACTAAACCTGAAAGAATCGACCTCCCCAGGCCCTGATGCAATCCCGGCCAAGCTGCTGAAGGGGCTAACTCCCGAAATGTCCAAGCCGTTAGCCTTGATCTTCAAACTTCATTTGTTACTGGATGCCGGCCCTCTGATTGGAAGTCCGCTACCATCACTCCGCCTTTTACGGGTGGAATTCGTGAATCTGCAAATAACTACAGGCCAGTATTACCTTCAGCTGTCGCTAAATCATGGAGGAAATCATTAAGAAAGCCTTGATGCAGTTCCTCGGGCAGCATCACCTCCTCTCCGATGCGTAACATGGCCTTCGAAGTAATAGGTACTGCCCCACGAATTTGCTCTTTTCCCTCGAACGCTGGAACAAAGCACGCGACGACGGCAATGCGGTGATGTCATCTGCATCGACTTCAAAACGGTCTTCGACCACGTTCCTAATCAACGTCTCTTGCACAAACTGCGCAATGCAGGCTCTCGTGGGCGTCTTCTTGTAGGGATCCAGAGCTTTTTTAACTGGACGATCCCAAAGAGTGCAGGTCGGGCGCCAACGGTCCTCAGATGCAAGCGTCGTGAGTGGCGTCCTACAGGGCTCAGTCTTAGGCCCCACGTTATTCCTCGTTTTCATACATGACTGCGTCAAGGACCTGGACTGTGATGCCATCCTGTTTGCTAACGACGTAAAATTGTGGAAAGCTTTCACAATGCGGCAGACGCAGACCACCTGCAAACAAACTTAAACAGGCTCGAGGACTAGTCGAAGCGCTGGCTTATGCCCTTCAATGTGAGCAAGTGTAACTTCCTTCGCCTTGGCAGCTGCAGAGCCTCCAGCCCAAGGACTTTCTTCCTTCAAAGTACACAACTGTATCAAGTTGATAGTCAGAAGGACTTGGATGTGTGGATTACAATTTCACTCAAACGAATACTGCACTGCGCGGAGGCGACTAAGTCGGCTATAGCTACATTACAACTCACTAGGTGAGCCCTTATGGGATTTGACACTGGCTGTTTTTCCAAATATTTGGCACCTACGTGCAGCCTCATCCAGAATACGCCATACAGGTATGGAAACCTTGGACTGTAAAGGACAATACAGCCTTAGAGAAGGGCCAGGGGCGGACAACAAAAATGACAAAAGGGTAAGATGTGGTTATGTAGCCCCACCTGAAGGACACAATACTGTTGGGGTTAGGGTTAAGATTAGGAGGTAAGGGTAAGGGTTAGGGGTTAGTTCAACTATTTCTCAACCACTCAAAGTACAACCGCGCATTCCAAATAGCTTTTCTTTTGCATACAACTAGTTGACCTCGTCGCCCGTGCGTTACCCGGCCTCACGTGTAAAAACCCCTATTACCACCGATCTCGTGTTACAGGTGGCTGGAGTTTGTTTACTTCAGGTGGGGCTACAACCGCATCTGACCGACAAACGGTCTGAAAGCCCTGCCCTATGAAACCAGACTGTCAACTCTCAACCTGTTTCCCTTTTCCTTCAGGCAACTACGCGGTGACCTTATACTTAGATTCCGCATTATAAACGGCCTAGACTGTTGCTTAGATCCCAGTGATTACTTCACTTAAGTCAACACGCCCACTTTGCGCGGTCGTCCCCTAAAACTGCGCACAGGTAAAGCAAGGATCAATGGACGAAAGTTCTTTTTCAACAAGAATGGTTGCAGCGTGGAGTGCCTTGCCTACTGATGTTGTACTCTCCTCCTCTGTGGACTCACTTATGTGTAAACTCGACGCGTTTCAAGCTTTCCAATTACAAGTGACACACCCCACCATGCAATCCATCACCCAACTTATAGACGTCTATACTACTTACAATGAGTGAGTAATCGTTAATGATCACTATTTTTCGCCTAGCTGGCAGCTGCCTGCCATGCGCATGCAATTATGTACAAAAAATCTTTTTCAACTTTCCACTTATCAGTGCCCTTTTCAAACGATTCGTAGCCAATAGGGAGTTCAAAAGCGCCCGCCTATATTTCTCTTAATAAAACTGAACTGAATTAATACTGCTTAAAGGGAAGAAAATTCTATCGATTGCGAAAAGCAGCAAGCGGCCTTATGCCAAAGTTTACTCAGAATGTTAGTGGCGCAGAGGTTGGGATGTTGGCGGTTGTCTTACCAAGGAGAAGGGGACTTAACAAAATAGAAGATAAAAACCAACCTATAGTCAAAAGGACCAACAAGTTAACGTTTCTGTAACTGTTGAACAGCACATATTCGACAAGACCTAAGTCAACTTCGACCTCAAAGTTGGTAACAAAGAGCCAAACCAGGGAAGAGAAAGATCGAACTTATGCGTGCGGAGACATACCTGCACGAAGGGACAGAAGTTTGCCATCTCAATCTTTCCGCCAAGATTGCTATCTCCACTACCCTCTCCAGGAGCTGCAGATTGTAAAGGCATAAGTCCGCAGACAGAAGCCGGTGGGCATGAGGCGTTAAACAGGTTGGAGGACGCAAAGTATGAGTACTCCGGTGGTAGGGACTCTCTGTGGCGGATTAGATTGCAGTAACCAAAACTGTAACCGCCTGGTGTGCAACTCACGAGGACGGGGCTTGTAGGTTCGGTCAACCGTGGGTGGTAGCAGAAGGGTGCAGTGCTCCGTCCACTAAAACATTTTACGGACAAGGGGTCTACAAGCGAGCAAGCAGACTGCGAGGACAAGCAACCAACTGACGCAAATCTTACTGACGGATCAAATGTAGGACGCTACTGTGCCTACCAAGTTCGAAGATTCAGGAACTGCATGAACTCTAAGGACTGAATACTGTCGTTCCCATTAGCGTGGCTTAGTTTAGGTTTGACCCGCTGAAAAGGCAACTGTTGGGGGTGAATCAAGCCGAGAAGAAGAAAAGCACGACAAGGTGGCCAAAAGTAAAAACAACAGACCACAAAGTCCGCCAGCTACACGGATCGAAAACTTGTGAATATTAGCACAGACAGGAGGGGAACGGTGTACTTCAAAGATTCCAGTCTGTCTGGCCTTGCCGGCACATCCTATTCGAGCCATTTAAAACCCAAGGCTAAATCAAAGTGAAGGGGACGAACTGAGATAGCACGCGCTCCGTCAAGCAACGAGCATGTTCGTAGTTCGTGCGTCACAAGCGACGAGGACCATGATCGTCACGGAGAGGACGCAGTGGCGAAATGCCCATAAACTGGTTTACAGAGGCAGAATTTCAACGAATCTACCCCCTATCTTCCGATGACAAGACAGCTGGAAATGGTCGGGGATGCTCTCTACGTGAAAGGGACCCGACAGTGCGAACATCGTGAATGATGATGTCCACCGTTTGTCTCAGCGTGGTGGGCGCAGGGCGGTGACTTGTGCGTGAACTAGTTTGCAGTAAAGCAAACTTGTGTAGCATCTGTCACGATTTCTTCTCCCTCGCCCACCTGGACCCGGTGAAAAAAACAATCAGGACGACCGGCGTCGGGCTTGGGAGCAATGGCTGCCAAAGTGTGGCGAGTGCCTACACTCCCAAAAACAAGAGCCAACCAATCACTGGAGACCATGTGCGTTTGCTCTCTCTACAGCGTTGTCATCTCAATCGGGCGCCTCTCCATTGGCTACTCCCCTATTCCCGAAGGTCATTGGGCCGAATGCCGGCGAACCACAGTAGGGTGTTATAAATATGCGTCACCTTTCAGCTTGTCGCGACTTGCACTGCTTTTCTAATACACTTTTCGTGGTCGGCCGTGTTTTCTTTGTCTGCTGCTTTGGTATTGGGGACGAGGGTCGAGTGCGTATACGCTCCATGGGCTTTCAAGTACCAGGCGGGTCATAACGCAAACTTAAACGGCCCGTCCGAGCGTGCCAAACACGACCTGGTCCCCGCAAAATGCACCGTGTTTCCATGAAAAAGGGGCGGCTCGGAGTCCGTCTTGATGAAAGTGACATAGGGGTCACATTAACAAGGAGCCATTGAGCCTGACCTCTATCCCGAGAGGATCCAGTTACTCCGTCAGTTGGCTGCCTTCCAAGCCCCGGCTTGTAACGCACCGTGATAGATTCAAGTGTTTCAGATTTACTTTAGAGAAGAATTCACTAAGATGTTGTTAAGGTGGGTTCACGAATCGACCTCACTCTGTCCCCTCCCTCTCTCGTGCAACAGTCCACTGTCCGAGCCTGTTAGCCGTCCACTGCTGGGATTGGGCGCAGTAGCTGGCACTGCGTGAAGCCTACGCCTAGGTGTGCCACCACATGCCCCTCTCCATGTGTGACGGTAGTTATGGGATGCGTTGACTCTGCGCAGTCCGATTAACGTGCGTCGCGACTCAATATGACCCTCGACTTGGTACAGCGCATATTTAGCGTAGTTCATTGTGGGGGGGGGGGCACTATACCAAGCATTGCACGAAGTTCACGTGAAGAAAGAGTCATCTATATTTTGTAGATGTCTAAAATGCAACAAAAAGAGACGGGTGCATTATCGACGCAGTTTAGAAACTTGGGTATTTTCTTATATTCCCTACAGGAGGGACTGCGAATTTCTAAGATCGGCCAAACTTGCTGGGGAGACGACAATCAAAACCCTTGAAAAGGATTAATAGGTGATTCCTTGATTCAGTCGAAATTTATAAAGTGGACGTACTCTGATTATAACAGCAAAACAGGAGATTCAGAAAGTTACTGTAGTCAAACTTACTGTTTCGTCTGTTCAGACATGAATTCGAAGCAACTGCCCGTTGCAAAAAGGCAACCACGTCCAAACCCCCAGGCTAAGTCGTCAGATGATGAATAGTTGACCAGGTACCAGCTAAAATGAGAAAAAAACAACTTTGGAACAGTGACCAATAGAAAATATTTGTTCGGAGAATAATTCCCAAAACCTTCGCTAGGTTACTCTCGTATTTATCTGACAACATCGGAATCTGCGGAAATGGAATAGGGGTCTTTCAAAGATGGCGAGGCAAATCCTGACACAAAGAACTGAGATTAAAGTCTGATGCTATTCGCTCAATCTTCGAGGTGTCTTCATTTTGTAAAAAAGATACTCATATCCCCATTGGTGATCAGTGCAAACCGACCAGTAACATAAGGCTAACAGCATAAAAGTGGTCGTCCAGGTAGGACGACGGATCTTGCATATCCGGCCTCTCTTAGGCCGTTTTATTGGTGGCTAACGATGGAAATGTTAGGAACACGCAGTTGTAATTGCTAACAGGAAAATTCTTTGAGGGTTTTGTTAGACTTTGGAAAAAACACTCCGTTGTATATCGATGGAGCTCTATCGGAGTTCAAGAAGACTGCTGACTAAGATGTATTGCTTTAAAGAGACATTTTCATCAACTTACCCCGTATCTTCCATTAAAGCCAGTGTTAACTTCGATAGAACAAAGGCGTTTGTGTACGTTGGCGTCATTAACTCGTTCTATAGGAGGGAACATGTACGTCTACTGAAAATGACGGTTTAAACAGTCTGGTTAGGATGCAAGAGCACTGAATATAGGACGAAGATCTAGCGGCCCTAAAATGGCTGTCTGGATCATTTACCTATACAAAACTTTCATTTTCTCTGAAATGTTCAGGTCGATTCAGCCACAGTATGCGACCTGACTCATGAAACCTGATGTGATAATTTTAGGCAGCCAAAACATTGCGCATTTTGCTCGTCCGCCTAGCACCTTCCGCAAAATATCCTTTTTATGTGGAATATGCCTAAACGTAATTCTATCAGGCGAAATGTTTGAAACATTGAGCAGAAATCTACGTTGCCCCATATTCGAGCAATTTCCTAAATTAATAGCTGTCCCAGACATGGTTTGCGCATCTGGGCTTGTTTACCTTTCGGAGGACAGTAATTTAATCTTGAGACTTACTAATCAAAAACGTGCCACACTCGAAATTGATTTCTTTTCCGCCGTGAAGCAGGTTGCGAACAAAAAGACTGGAACAAGGGCTTTATTCGTCGGACGTTTCGGATTCTCACTTGAATCCATCATCAGAGAAGCTTATACCACCGTCCCCGATGATGGGCTTAAGCCAGAGTCCGAAACGTCAGGCGAATAACGCCCTTGTTCTAGCGATAGCTTCTTCTTATCAACTAGTTCCTGGAACTCGCATCTTCGCTTGTATCGGCGAATAGACTATTTTTGGAAACTATACGTCTTATCGATTCTTAAATATCGGATTTGTGAATCTGTTTAATTTGTGCCCTGAAGTGCAGTAACAGCACCTATAGACAATCCTCCGTTTAACCGTGCTGATGATAGTCCCGCCATTTGCGAATATACCATGAGTAGCCGCCAAAATCGCCATAATCGAACAGGCATTTTAAATTTTGAACGTATGGAAAAATACTTTTTTGTGTGACTCAGTGTCTGCTTATGCGTAATTTAGAAACAGAATGGGCAAAACATTTATAGTTTGAGCGGTATGTCAGTATTTATATGGCCATTGTTCTGTGGATTTATAATTGTAGAACGGGGCCTAGAAGTAAACAAAGATGACGAAAACAGTTGTAACATAAGGAGAAAAGTAAATTCAGAAAGATGTGATTATGTAGCCCCACCTGATGGACACAAAACTGTTGGGGTTGGGGTTAGGGTTAGGGGTCAGGGTTTGAATTTAGGGTTAGGGCAATTATTTCTCAACCACCCAAAGTTCAACCACGCATTCCCAATAGCTTCTCCTTTAAATACAACAACTGGACCTCGTCGCCTCTGCGTTCCCCGACCCCACCTATTATCACCGGCACTGCATTGCAGGTGGCTGGGCTTTTTTATTTCAGATGGGGATACATAACCACATCTGACCGTAAATTCTTCCTTTTGCGGCAGAAAAATCATCAGTATTTCCTAGGGAAGTGAAAAAAAACTGTCAGGTGGCGATTTTTTTTCTTGGCTTCACCTTGTAAAAAGGAAAGTACGTGGAAATCCGACGACAGAATATGGTATTAAAATACTTCTAAGTAGGTAAATAAAACATGTTCATTTGTGACTATTGTTGTGGACGTCCATTTTTTCTACAATGAGGTCTCATATTTGGGTGAGCCTTGAAAGGTGACCCAAACGACCACCTACATGAAGGAAGACACCCAAGAAAACAGTATTTGGGTAAACGCTTCTAAGATATATCTTATTTCAAAGGTCTTAATAAATATATAGCGCAGAACTTATCTTTATGGGCAATCGATTAAACGCACGTAAGATCAGAAGGTAATCACTGACATTCCAAGGACACTGAAACTCAATGGACTTCACCGACAGCAAAAATCGCACACAAATTTGACGGAAGACAAGTTTTCCTAATATGCACAAAATGGTACGCTTACGACTCCATCTGTCAATTATATTCAGGTTTAATAGTCACATGTGACCTTATGAAAACTTTTATTCCTGTGACGCCGCTATCAGTGACATCAAGTTAAATCCTCTTTACTTTAACCAATCGCATCGCGAATATAAAAGCAGAAAATTACGTTAATTTTGTGTAATAAGATCTTGAAACACATAACCGAACATTACGCACTTGCCTCCGTTAGACTTCGTATAACATTTATTCTTGGAGGATATTCAATGAAAATGTATGTATGTTATTTCTTAGACGATACTGTGCTTGTGCCACTTTATTTCGTCAGTTATTCGCATGAAAAAGCACTATGGGCCTTTAAAATTTGAGCCCACTCATGTGGCACGAATTTTCGCGTTTCCAAAACCATTCTTTTATTTGACCCAATTATGAAAAACTCGGCAGTCTCAATGGGATTCGAACCCACGACGGCAGGAACAAAGCTCGAGTCCAGCCAACGTTCTAACCACCTGAGTTATGAGGCTTGGACAGTCAGCTTACTGCATCAGAATTGATGGATTCAATAGGCTACAGTGGGCTGGGCGGGCACCTTGATCGAAATGTAATCAAACTCACGGTTCCCGGTGGGGCCTCGTAGCTCAGGTGGTTAGAGGGCTGGCTGCACTCATGCCTTGTCTTTACTGTTGTTAGTTCGAGTCCCACAGAGGCAGTCAATGTTTTCACAACCGGGCCAAATAAGATATTCAAATCTGCCAAAAAAACACTTATTAGACCGTTCTTTCTAATCAACGAAATGGTACTTGTAATACTAGCGTCTTTATCTAGTTGAAGGTTGTTCGTTATTAATTTCGTGTTTTGCTAGATGCGCCCGGACTGGTTTTAGATTGGTTAGTGATTCTTCGTTAATTCAGGTTTATTACACGAGGTGCGTTACCTACTGTATCTCAGTGGCGTCCAATCAGCGACATGGTCCTGAGAAAGGCTTTTCTCTCGAACTCCAGTTGAAATTAATAATATATGCAAAAAACATTGGCTTTGTCCTTGGGAAGAGTGTCGACATCTTAAAATTTGGCGTGTGATATGGTCACGGCCAAGGTAGGACACCTCAAAATCTCTGCTCCCTACGTTACAGCCGGGTCTAGGATGCATCGTAATTTGAAGCAATTTCCACTGAAGTCAAGAAATGTCTGCTCAACAGCTAACCTAAGTAAAAACTGCACTGTTCTCAAGGCTTTAAGGGCGGACGCAACTGGTGGGATGGCGGACACAACACATTACCCCTTCAAGACTTACCCCCAAGAGTCGCGTCTCCCAGTGAGAAAGGGAAACGCCAGGCAGATGGTGATCTTCCAGTTCAACGCCGTCTAAAGAAGGGCAGCCAAAATACTCCTTCGCGACGCGCTTTATGCAATAAAAAATTATAATAATATTAGGAAAGTCAATGGAAGGATTAATGTCTTGTCGGTCTGTCTTTAATATCCAGCTACATAGCTACCAGACAAAAACTGCAGTTGGAGAAGAAGTAAAAATAAATGTTATTTACCCTGTCACGTCATGTGATACCTATCTCCGAATACTCAACGATATCTATATAAACAGATTTAGTGATTGGTTCAAGCCTTCGTCTTGTCAGGAGAGGCCAAATCGCTGAGGTCCCAGCCGATAATAACTGATCTAGTGGAAGATCCTACCACGAAAATAACCTGTTCATTATGGGTGTCTGCAACTGGCGCTTTGGCTCTAACGGCTACTAGAAACCCCACAAAGTGCTTTCACGCTAGGGAAAAAAGTAGCATCCATACCTCACCCTGAAGCCGGGATAGATGGGTGGACGTCAACTCCAGGTGACTCCGAATGCACCCCGACTTCCGCCGACAAGGCATAAACCGGTTGTTCAACGGTGGAGCGTTTGATTCATTGATGAAAAGGTCCACATTCGGGGCGGAGTCCCCCCAGGTCTGGAGGCTGGTGACAGCCAAGAAGTCCAAAATTGATATTCAAATCTACCTTGTCGTTGCCAGTGGTACTTTTCAATTATACTTCTGACTAACCCATTTGTGGTATAAAACCTGGACGACACGAGGAGCGGCAGAAGTAGCCACAAATACCTCGAATCCACTTTCCCCTTTTCGTCACTGATAATGACAGTAAGCAGGCATGGCGCCCACTGTTTAGGGGTCCATTCCTGATTTACTTACTCGAGCGGATCTTCCTGACAGAAAATCAGCCCGGAATGCCAGAAACCCAGAAGTGAGTAATTCATATTGCTCTGATTAAATTAGGACAACGCTAAGACTGCGGATAATTGACATAATTCGCATTTTTAGTCGAAACTATGCCTGTGATGGAAGACTAGGAGGATAGAAAATGCCTGCGGGTTGATCAGTTTGAGGTGAGGTTGTATCGTCTGCTTTGGCTCTGAGTTATTGTAACCCCGCTTGTCGTCTGTGCAGAGTAGCCGCTGAGACAACAGTAAAATCTCCCCACGAGTTAGGAACTGAAGGATAATCAACAAGTTTGCGCAGCTAGCAAATGTATGGTTGTGGGAAATCAGGATTACAGCGAATGGCATACCTTAGTGACTGGCGGTTCGTGTCTGTGGTGGCAAACGCTTTCTGGTCGTGTGTTTACGAATCCTCCATAGTCTGTTCAGTCAGTCGCAGTTAGTATTGACAAGAAACAGTTGTCACAGTGGTCATCTCTCTTATAGTTCAGTGCAGGAGAAAACCCGCGTTCATTGAGGCTTGTGTCTGGCTAGGATAGTGCACGCTTTACCCGCTGGCCCACAGCGGACGAGAGCCAGATTCCACGTCTTGCACACAAACTAAGCACAGATCTTGCCCTGACAACTCTCCTCCAGGCACTCAATACACTTGCACGAACTAGGGTCAAATGACAGATGAGGAAATGGCATGCATAAATTTAAGGGCGTGAGAAAGAAAATGCATGCAAAAAGGTGGAAATGTTTAAACATACCAAAACTGCCGGGGTCCGCAGTAAGTACGCTACTTTGGGAAAGACGCCGCGAGAACTTGTCCAGTTTCGAACTACCCTTTTTATGACCCTTTCGCTCCAATTATAAATGCCTCTAAAATGGAACACCAGATATTTGGAGCAAATTGAGGAAATGGTTCATAAAATAGTCAAAATGGAGAGGTGTTGATATGAAACATACCGACTTTTGTTAAACCAACCAAGACTTGGGTTTGGTGAAAAAGCCTGGCGGGGCGTCAATGGCTCCCCTGTCGGACTCCGAAAAAAGGCGTAAAGACTGCTTGAAAATCCCTAAAAGACCAGAATGAAGTGTTGAAAGGTCATTAAGTCATTAGCTGGAAAACGGTTGTGAGCGGCTCGACAGAAAAATTACAAACAAGAGAATAGGAGGATGAATTGACGCTGGTTGTTGTGAATAAAAAAGCGGGGCGGAGGGGGAGGAGGAGGAGGAGGAGGTGCGCTAGTTGCAGATATGTGACTGGGACTTTTGCTTACCAGTATATGAAGCATTTCATGCCGGAAAAAATAGGTCAGCTCCGCGGTCTGTGCATGCCTGTGAAGAAGCGCACGCGGACAGAAGTTGACGAATCCGGCAATAGGCCTAAGGGACAGTAGAGATGATGGCAAGCAGCCAACGACACTAATCTACCTATCGGTTTGACTCTCTTGCTGACAGTGTGCAGCGTAGCCAATGGATGTCTCACTCTCATCACACCGTCTGGAGGGAAGAGCTGATATGTACATACGGAAGTTTGGACCGCCGGGCTGCGGTATGTCAGATGGCCTCAAATGCTGATTTGAGGCATTACGGCAGGACTTGGCGGGAAAGAAGGAATTCTGTTGTCAAATAGTTTGCGAACTTACGTTTACGTGTTCTGGGGGCACGCGTACGGGCCCGCAACGAGTAGTAACCTCACAACCTCGAATACAAAATGAGAGCAGACGGCTCTTGTCATTGTTCTTTTCTCGTGCAAAACCAACCTCTCCACCGATACACTGCCTGCAGAGGAATCTGAGGGAGTCGAGTAGGTGGGGGATACCTGTCCAATTTGACAGTTACAAGATTAGTGAGGGCGAGCGAAAGCGTCGTCTGCCAAAATTGTACAGCCGGCTCAATAATTTCAGTCTATAAGAGAAAAGAGTTGCAAGGGGAGGCGGGAGGAAATACGCTACCTCGAGCATTTTGCTGAATGGGAGAGTTCGAAAAGAAGTATCTAAGTGGACGGCAAAAAGAAGCGGACGCCCTGTGGATCGCTGCGGGCGACTGGGAGTGAAGGTAGCAAGAGGCACGTGACGCACCACCTCAGAGTCTTCGGGACCCGGGCTGAAGCAGACAGCCTGGATGCATGCTACTTTGGCTTGGAATGACCAGAGTAGTACAAGTAGGATGTTCATGTAGTAGGATCAATGAGCTAAGGGGCTGACTCATTCAGAAACTGGAACCCCTTCACACAAAAATAAGGTTACAAATCTAAGTCACACTGACCTGGATGAGGAGTACATGAATAGATGCATCGCAATGAGACCAACGGTTTTCGCCTGTGTCGTGTGTTCAGAGTTTGCGGACACTATAAAACCAAAATGACATTTAAAATGGGATTTTGAGTGCGCACTTTTCATATTTCGTCGTCAGCGGGCAAACTTCAGGTGCGCCAGCACCTTCGGTCACATACCAATCGCCAATGACGAAAAGAAACCAGAAATAACATTTTCTCTATCCCTTGTCATCATCGGTAACAAGATTCAATTACTGATTGCTGATCATCATGTGAAAATCTGCTGCAAGCCTGGATCCGGAGTCCCAAAGCATGACAGATTCATCCCGTACTCGATCATGCAACCGAGATAGAAGTTGAACGCTAAGCCCACGAGATATATCATCCCACCTCTGTAGTATCATACCGTGGGAATACTTGGACGTTTGTTTATTACAGACCAAGCTTTTTCAGTGTTAGTCTTGCGCAATAATCTGCCAGCATATCACGACCTTTCATGCACCGTGCGATTCATAAGCCACTGTCTCTGAAGACTAAAACACAACAGCAGTAAGAACAAACTAAATAGTTCAGCCACGTTAAATCCCGACAAGATACAATAACTTTAGGAATAAATGGCGGCAAATGACAGTTTGCTTCATAGTAACTGTTCAAAATGTTCAGCATTTTGATCCTTACAGAGCTTGCAGCGTTTCCAGAAGCTTGAATAACATTTACGGACTACGTTTTCATAAGTCTGTTAAGTCATGTAAAAAGTTTCTTAAAGTTTGTTGACCGTTTGATAATAGTAGTGGGTTGCATGAAGTCAACCGTTAATATAGCCTTGGAGTCAAAATTT